TACGGCCCTCGCGCTTGGTTAATAAGATATATTTAATGCCCGTGCCTACCTTTGAGTTTCACTGTATGTATGGTCTAGAGGCAGCGAAAAATTTAAACAAACAAACTACCTTTATTTAAGTCATAAATTTCTCCGGTGGCGGTGTAACATAAATATAATCACGGTGGGTCATCGCCGCAGAAAAAGAAAAATTTACAGGCAAAACAACGCTTGAGGAAATAGTTCCAAAATGTGTTTCTAACGTGTCTAACGAGTTCTGACAAGCGGGTTACACTTAACCTTTGCCATTAACAAAAAAACTCAGAATACTATAATCCTGGCAAAATCCTTAGCTGTTAAAAAATCAAAAAGACGACGAAAGGGAAAAATGTTTGCTCCAAAAAAAGAAAAAAAAAAAAAATTCCAACTATACTCTTGCCGCATTTGTGATATAATATAAGTCTACAACTACTCCAATTTTTTTCCCTAAAACTCTATCTGAGGTCTGACTTGATTGTGGGTCACAATACAGAGTCCTACCAAAGGTCATATTTTGGTCCAACATCCTCTCAGTTCATGACACGATATTTAAATTGCTTTAAAAAGTCCATTGTTTAACAGTTATTATTACAGCTTACCACTGTAGTCACTTCTGCCAGACATCCTCTGTTTCCCATCTCCATTAGAATCCTTTCTCTGAGATGATTTTAATGCATTTTTCTTCGTGGGTACCACTAGCGAATTAAGTTTGTAATAGTCAAGGAACGTCCGCGCTACATTACGGCCAAGTTTGAAGTACCCTTCTTCGGTATACGGCGACATTCCTTGTGAAACAGCCGTATTGTAGCTGAAAAACGACACTTCCAACGTGTAGCAATGAGTCTTTGGGTCTAAGCAGCTGCCGAGAAAACGGCGCCCCGTGCCAGCTTTCACAGCATCCTTATTAAATGAGGTATTAGACATGGAAAAGTCTTCTGCATTCGCGCATAGAAGTCTCGGATAAACAGCTTGCCTTTCGAATCGTTCCTCCTCGTCGTAGATATTCCCGTACATGAAACCATTCATCATAGTGGAATGCGCGTGAATATCGATATAAAAGTCGAGATGGACATTTTCATCTTCATCCAGCTGCATTAAGTGGTTCTTACAAGCTACAAGGGTAGGGTGAGCCCACGGTGAGGGCTCCTGCCAATGGCGATTCAGATCAAACCCCATCAGAGAGCAGCGGTAGTTACCCAAGACTACACCGTCTGGGTTTAACATGGGCACTATTTTAAAAACCAGGTAATCTCTCAAGACTTTTGCCACTGGATGACTACTGACAAGGAAGTCAATTACACCTTGACAGACATAGGATGATGGAGTTTCACCTGACACAGACAACAAAAGTATTCTGTTAGCCCTTTAACCCCCAGAGGTGATTATTATGGAACTTCTCCTTATATTATCTATACATTGTCCAGCAAACAGGTAATGAGAGTACTCAAACTCACTAGATGGAAGCTGATGTCTGGATCTAACACCAAATTCTTGTAACTAATTATCAAGGAATTGTGTTGTAGGTAAAGGGAAGAATTAACCATCAGAGCATGAAATTGAAAGGGTTAATCAAAGATTTGGTATGTGCTAACCAGAAGCTTAGGCTTAGGTTGTATGCTGTAGGCTGACCTACTGTATCAATTTTGTGTGACTGATTGAACTCGAGCTGGAGAAGTCTTGGATCAAGTCAGGGTCAGTTATGTGTTCTTGAACCACTTCACTCTCACAGTGCCTCTCCCCCCCCCCCTGGAGTAGGAGTAGGTATTGGTGAACTGTCAGGGAAAGCTGACAAAATTAAAAGGGTGGGGTACCTGCAATTAGTATGATTTCAGAGCTGAGCTAAGAGTTTCCAGCAATCTGACTGGTTGAGCGGTTCCTTATATGACACTATATAAACCGCTCCATGCGGTTTATATAAAATGTTAAAATAAAATGTTAATACATGTTACTAAAATGTTATGATTTTAGAAAGTTCTCTGTTGTTCAGCTCTGAAATTAACTAAAACAATTATTTGCCTCAGGTTCGGTGAATATTGTCGAATAATCCCCTCCACTTTGTCTCGGGGATTATTCGACGATAGTCACCTCACCTTCGGTGAATAATTATCAATTAGCTATCATCCTGTCCGTTTTGAAAATTGTGCTGTGGCTTCTAATTTGCATTTATGATTGTGTCTGTGCTTCTAGAACATTCCTATTCATTGCTATCACTTTTTTCTTGGTAGGTTTAGGTAATTATGAAACAATTTTTAGTGTAATAGAAAAAATTTAGGTAATTATTCTTAGTATTTTCAATAAAGTGTTTGTAATCCCTTGAATGCTAGTTCCATTATTTTATTGTTCAGGTCCCTTTTATTTTAAACATAGTTTACAATTTTGTCACCTATTATGTTTAAATATGCTGACTTTTCTGTCATCAGTGTTGTAATATTTAACTAGTTTTTTTTATCAAGAATCTTGAGTATGGTTACCTTCACTGAAACATCAAACTTGTAACACTGTCCAAGACACACATTGTACAAAATTCAAAAGAATACATTATCTCAAGCGAGGCCAGAATGGCTAATTTAAATTTTAACAAAAGAATATTTATACGGCAGCCATTTATGAAAGTGGTCTATATGCCACCAATGAGACCAGTTAAATATGAGGAAGCTGATGATTTGCACTAGCTACTCGTAACTTTGACAACCTAGTTTAATATTTGTTTCAAGATTGACCTGTTGATGTGCTTTTTTCTCTCTAACAGTCCTTAAAAAAAATTGTGAGGAAGAGGTTGCTTGTTTTTCTAGCGCTAGCCACATCAAATATGGCCCACCATTATAATTATGGGCATGTAGGCATGGGGTGACATATCCACACACTGGGTTAGATATATGATTTGGAAACCAGTTCAGTTCTCCTTGTTTTCTCTTAAGTTTATAAATCATGAGCCAAGGGTAAGTGAGTGACAAGTGATTTACATACTTTTCAATTGTACTCCCAACATAACACCGGTAAACCGATAGGAAGTATTTTCTATTACATTGTTGAAATAAATTTTAAAATGTTTTTAAAAGATAAGTTTTTAACTTACCAGGGTGCTTGTAGTATCTCAGGGATTTTATAAACGATTAATAATAATGATGATAATAATAATAATATTTACTCAGGAGGCGATATCACAATACAAGTAAATGGTTTTCAGAACGGCCCTGTAAAAGCTGTATTTCTGTAAACTAGCGGTACACACAACTTTGTTTGATAATTCGCTGTAACAAGAATAAAAGGCTTACCTGGATGAATCCTTGCTGTGATGAAAATAACCCTCTTTTTGAGATCATCTTTCATGTTTTCTGGGGAAGTGACTGTCAGTAAATCAACTCTGCGCTGCTGAATAGTCAAACAAAGTAGTTCCCTTTTGTAACACTCCATGTTCCTTTTATCAAGTCCCTCGAGGAAGGTTTGCAGACGAGAGTATGTGTAAGGGAAGCAGTAAGCAAATTGATAAACATCTGTGTCATTATCGAAGGCAAACGCAAATGAGAGTACATAGTTTTTTCTGTGGTCGGGGCAGCGATAATAGAAGCAATTTTTGGCAGGAATTCTCTGCCAGTTTGGCCGACTGGTAGACTTGACTAGAGGAGTCATTCCCTCGCGATATAAGCTTTTAGTTTTGCTAAAATTCACAACATTGAATATGACCCGCTGATAAGGTGCTGTGTTCTCAACAGTGAAATTAAACCAAACGCGAAAGCGAGGATTGCAGGTGTCCGGGCGAATAAACAAATCGTATTCGAATTCCGTGATGTAGTCAACTCGGCCGAGATTTCCACTTTCAAAACAAGCATCGAACATCAAGTGCCCCTTTTTAGGCGCTCCTGAAAAGTCAGGAGGTAGAGCATAGTATTTAGATAGGTTACCCACAGGTTCGTCCGCCTTGACGATATTTTCAGAGTCCAAATCTTCGTTCACACCGCTTTCTTGACTTTCGCTGCGAGACGCCATCTTGAATATGCCGGCAAGATTTCTAATCACTATGACAACAGAGAAATCAGCGAATGTGGAAGAGATGTGTGGGGAGGGGTGGGGATTTTGAGTTCAGGATAGGGAGGCAGAGCTGTAAAAAAGTGCCGTTTTCATGTTTCTAATAAGTCTCAAAAAAGAAACAACAACTTTGAGTTTAAATTTACAAGACATGTTTCGACATTCTCATTTCATCTTCAGTTGCAAATGAGCATTTAACTGTTGTACATTTGAATTTATATTAAGGTACGTTACAAACTACGTGTCAGGGCTTACGTTACATTTGAATGTTAAAAACGCGAAAAATGTAAATAGCGCGCGCTTGACTAGATCAAAAAA